AATTTAAAGTAATTAATATTCCAATCCTCCTACTTGAATTCGCTCTTTTACTTTAAAAGTAATGCAATTAAAAAAATTAACAACACCAATTAAAATAACAGATGTACAAAGTTCAATCGAAGTAAATCAGTAGAATAAATCAATGCTTATTTGAGCAGGATGTTAAAACAATTAATATTGCATAGTATTTTGTTACAATTATCTGTACCTATTCATTTATTTGAGCAATAATAATTATCTTTCTTCTCTAAAATAACAGTAATAATTCAGAATGAGTCAATTTCTTTTCTTTCCTAACTAATTTTGTTCTTTCTATCTTTTGATATTGCTTTACTTCTTTTTAACGGTAATGCAATCTTGATAAAATCAGAGTAATTCGTACAGAAACATTGGCGAGGCGGAAGAATTATTCATTATCAACTGTAAGGAAATTTCTTCATCGAAGACACCTGCGAGTTCCATTTATGGCGAATTAAGAGGTGAGTTATACGTGCAAATGCGATCATTATAAGCAGATAACGAAGCAACTTTTAAAGTAAATTGCCATATACATGCCACACGCACGTCGCAATTTTTCCGTCTGTGAAACTTGATTGCTATTTTAATAACGAGCATGACAAGTTTGTACTTTTAGTCATTGATGATGCAGATAATTTCAAGAGAGACAGATGCGCATTCCTCCTTTTTGATATCATTCTGAATATATAAATCTGAAAAATAAATTCAAAATACAAAAATGCGATAATTTCTCACCCACGCTGAGCTAACAATTGCATTTCATTTAGAGATTATGTATTAATTAATTGCGAACGAAATGTTATTCTATTCGTCTAAAGTTACGTAAAAATATGAAAATATGAAAATATGAAAAGCTCTGATAAAATCTGATATATTATAATTATAAATTTATACCTTAATATCAGCTAAAAATGTCAATTAAAAATTAGCTAAAATTAGCTAATATCAGCGAAAACATTTTAGCATTTATAAATACGCTTTAAAATTGCAAAGTACAAGATAACAAATAATTTTGCTTATGTAATTTAATGACTATATTTTGCTAGAGTGTTAGATAAATAACTTTTAAAAAAGTAATAATAGTAAATTCAAATAAATCTTTGCACGAATATTTATTAAAATTTTATTAGTGTATATAAAAAATTTGATTTAATTCGTAATATTATTTCCTTAACTTACAAATAAGAACTATAAAATACAATTTTACAAAAATCAAGACAAACAAAAAAAATTAAATGAGTTTTAGATATTTTTTAATAAGAAAATAATGCTCATATTTTACACAAATACCCAAACGTAATAATAGAATAATTTATGAAATATTTTTGAAATACCTGTTTTTAATATTGAGTAATGCTTTGAAATATGACATTCTTAATTAATGAAAGACAAAAGAACAATATCATTCCAAGCAATAAGTCATGAACATTTAAATTTATCAAAATTTTTGCAAAATAATTATTAAAAGTCACTTTTTGATCAGTCACAATTTATTTTAACGTTATTTTAAAATTAGCACAACTTATTGTTCTTATTCTATTTTTAAAGTTACGTAAAAATATGAAAATATGAAAATATGATAAGCTCTGATAAAATCTGAATATATTATAATTATAAATTTATACCTGTAATGTGCGCGCACAATTAAGGCCTCATAATCATATATTTTTAACAAATTGCTTTTATTTCTCTTACATAAAAATTTTTTAATTAATTTTATAATTTTAATTTAATTTTAAAAAAAATGTTTTGACCACATATATCAATTAAAAATGTCAATTAAAAAATTAGTTAAAACTAGACCACATATAATATCAGCGAAAACCATAAATACACTTTAAAACTGCAAAGTACAAGATAACAAGTTTGCTTATTTGAGATATTTTCTTTCTGACTAATAATCTGTATATATAAGAATTTTTATATTTAGCTACGAATTTTCATCAAGATTATACCAGAAACCATAAGCCCTCGATTTAGAGACGAAAGGTGTTCAGCACGAGCCACACCGTGCCGCGATCGTTTCTTTCGAGCAGCTGCCGCTATTTTTCGAAAATAAAGGTGGCCCTGCCGTCTGTCCGCGGATCCGCCACGTGTAAGGGTCTCTATCTTATTCCCTCAGCTTTTTTCCAATTTTAATTAACCATCTTGATTATTCGTCTCGACATAAGGAACGCGATTCATTAGTCGCGTCAATGGCGCAACTCTTACACACAGTTATATAAAATTACAAAGCGAGTACAATGTATTGAGATTATAATATAGTGACTTAACCGAGGGCCCGATCTCCTCCGCACGGTTAGTAGATTTTGCGTTAGCAGATGTACTTCCGGCAGCTGTAAAAGTAGTGTACCTCCTTTATAGGTGCACGCGCCCTCGACGCGCACCTATAAAGGCGAGACAATGAACACCGATTGGCCATTAGGTCCGCATCTGGCGGATTTCATGAGAGATCAATTTTCTATGCCGAGGTATCAATTCAACACCGATGATTCGATTGGACAAAATAATTTCAACGTTTAATTTTTTCGTAATGTCTTTTTACATAGTAAGAGATACAATTGTCATCTGTAAAATTTAACGCGGAGTTTAACGAGCAATCGTAAGTAATACTAGACTAGAGTAAATATCTGTCTCACCAGCAGATGTATGCGCAAAACAATGTGCAGCCGTTCATTATACGAATCTTTTTTTAATATCTTTCATCTTCTTGATACACGGCATGTTGCTACCATCTGCACGAACTTTTTTCCACTACTTTCTAAGACAATTTTTTGCACTGGCCTGACCGAACTCTCTGAGTTGTCGCAAATAAATTTTATCATACATATCCCATTAAATTGCGACGTTAGTTTCATTATGGCGTAATAAATTTGCTTCTTGTCGTTAAAAATTTTTTGTCTCTAGTTATCAAGATATAAATAATATACAAATATAAATAATTTATTGTCCTTACATAAAGATTTTTACATATCATCATATCGATGCGATCATATCGTTACGATATAATTTTCTTCCTTTTTTTCCATTAATTCTTACGCACAATATAACTTGAACATTCGGTTATGCTGTCCTGAACATTTCTTTTTTTTCAAATACTGGGAGCACCTGGCTAAATAATGGTTTCCTTTCCTTTTTTAAATCTCTGTCTGCATGCAATTTGGATCTTTTTAGCACAAGTGAAATTTTATTCTCAAATTTCTTCGGAATAAAGGAGAACAGAATCCAATTCTCCTTTTTAAAATATTTCGTTAGCAGTGGGGTCTTATGTAATAGAAATATTAATGCTCTGAACTTTTCCACACTTTCTGAAAGCCTTTCTGAAAGCCTAGCGAAAAAACTTGAGCAAAAAAGTCCTAGATTACAGAAAATTAATACACGATCTTACAGATATTAAAAATATTAAAGTATATGTAAAGCTCAGTTAAGAATCTTCATATACTTATAAAAATGATGAAAATTAATTCAGATACGAACGACCTGTCGTGTAATAAAAGACCGGAAAATTATCGTGTACCCTAAAGGTTAACAAATTCTAAGATTAGGAACTTTAGGTAGATTATAATTTTTCGCTTTACTATGAATCATTTGAAAAGTCCAAGTTTTCGGAGTCACAAAGAAGGCCTGCAAGTTACGCAACGCAGGATCTATCGCGCATCTGCATCTGCGTACGTTGATGATCGCTGCGCCGGTTCACGGACGGACTAATTCAGCCAATTTACTTGATTCCCTCGGCACTACCACAATGGCTCGCCAACATGGCCCCTATGGTGGCCGCGCTCGCCATGGTGGCTTGGTGTTTTTCGACTTCGACGCGGAATGCAGACATCTCGAATTAAATACGCATCAGTTAAGACGTGCCCGTCTGTTCATCCACGTCTATTATTCTCACAATTCGTCTTTGACATTGATATTCCCAAAGCATCCCCATATATAGAAGATTAAGGCGACATTTAGTTTTTGTATTCCTAAGATCGCCCGTATCTTTGAGTCGAGCCACGAGGAAGATGAATTAATTCCATTTGAAAGAGAGATTTGAGATGCCATTAAATTATAATATTTTTATTTATTTATTCTTCGTAACACGTTGTGATTACTTTTTATTTTACTTTTTCAATCGTATCTTTGAATTATTGCGACATAGAGTTAAAAGTACGTTTTGATACATTTTTGAACTATCTTCGAGTTAATAAACAATAAAAAAAACGAAAGCACTCAACATTGCTTCGTTATAATTTAAAATATAAAATATATGAAATAAATGAAATAAAATATTTTTTA